GTTTTGGATGAAGGAAGTGAAATTCCTTGGTCATATTGTGTCCGAACAAGGGGTAGCTGTTAACCCCATCAAGATTTAAGCAGTGATGAAGTGGAAAACACTGAAGAATGTGACCAAAGTATGTAGTTTCCTGGATTTAGCAGGCTACTACCGGAGGTTTATAGAAGGGTTCTCAAAGCTCGCAATGCCAACGACTCGCCTTATGAAGAAGGGAGAAAAATTTTTGTGGACTCAAGCATGTGAACAAGCTTTTTGCACCTTGAAGAAGAAGTTGACAACAACTCTTATCCTCATTATTCCGAGCAGTGGGGAAGGATATGATGTTTATACCGATGCTTCGTTACGAGGCTTGAGATGTGTGCTAATGCAAGAAGAAAAAGTAGTTGCTTATGGCTCAAGGCAACTCAAGATTCGTGAGCAAAACTATCTCACTCACAACTTGGAGCTTGCCGCTGTGGTTTTTGCTCTTAAGTTGTGGAGGTGTTACTTATATGTGAAAAATTTTCAAGTGTTTTCTGATGATAAGAGCCTTAAGTATGTATTCACACAAAAAGACTTGAATCTCCGGCAAAGAAGATGGTTTGAGTATCTAGAAGATTATGATTTCACACTCAACTACCATCCAAGGAAGGCTAACGTAGTAGTAGATGCACTTAGCCGGAAGTCTCGGGGTGAAATTAATGTTCTTGTTGTCTAGAGGTGGAAGATGATTGATACTTTGGAGGACTTTGATCTATGTGTGGATAGGTAGGAGAATTGTTTATGCCTATTTAACCTTGTAGCCCAACCTACACTCCAACGTAGGGTTGTGGAGTTACAATACTTGGATCCTGATTTAGAGTCGATTCAAGCTAAGTTGAAAAATAGGGAAATAGTTGAAGGTTGGTCTTTGAGAAATGGAGAACTAAGATATGGGGAGAAATTTTGTGTCCCCGATGATTCTTCCCTAAAGGAGGAGATATTAGGAGAGTGTCATCGCTCCAAATTTGCCATCCACCCCGGTGGCATAAAAGTGTATAGGGACATGAAGCGTTAATTTTGGTGGAAGGGAATGAAGAAGGATGTGGCAAGGTTCATAGTCCGATGTGAGGTGTGCCAACAAGTGAAGATTGAACATCAAAAGGCCGAAGGATTACTACAATCATTGCCTATTCCAAAGTAGAAGTGGGATCACATCACCATGGACTTCGTGTCGGGTTTTCCACGGACTTTGCGAGGTCTTAATGTCGTATGGGTCATTGTAGATAGACTTATCAAGTCTACTCATTTCTTGAGTATGAAGACCACAGATACTTTGGAGACCTTGAGCAAGTTGTATATTCGTGAGATCGTTAGGCTAAATGGAGTTCCGCTCTCTATCGTGTCGGATCGTGATTCTCGTTTTGTGGCGCAATTTTGGTAAAGTTTACAATGAGCTATGGGGACAGAGTTACACTTTAGTACCACATTTCATCCCCAAACAGATGGCCAATCTGAGAGGGTAATACAAATTTTGGAAGACATGTTGCGTGCTTGTGTGCTGGACTTCAAGGGAGGTTGGAGCGATCATTTGTCGTTGGTGGAGTTCGCGTATAATAATAGTTTTCAATCTAGTATTGGTATGACACCTTATGAAGCATTGTATGGGAGATCATGTAGGTCACCGACTTGTTGGCTAGAAGCTGGAGAGAGTAGTTTGTTTGGGCCAGATATTGTTCGGGAGAATACGGAGAAAATTCAACTCATCCAGGAGAGACTACGCACGGCACAAAGTAGACAAAAAAGCTATGCGGATTGAAGACGAAGACCATTGGAATTCCAAGAGGGGGACTAAGTATACCTCAAGGTGTCACCCAAAAAGGGAGTGTTGAGATTTGGCAAGAAGGGAAAGTTAACTCCAAGGTATATCGGACCATTTGAGGTGATCAAAACGGTGGGCAAAATGGCGTATCAACTACGGTTACCAGCTCAGCTGTCGGGAATGCATGATGTGTTCCATGTTTCGATGTTAAGAAAGTGTCAATCGGATACCATGCATGTCGTAGATTTGGAGGATATTGAAGTTCACGATGGAGCAACATATGAAGAACAACCGGTGGAGATTCTCAATGCCAAGGAGAAAGTGCTTCGCAATAAAGTCATCCAACTGGTGAAGGTCTTGCGGCAACATTATGAGATGGAAGAAGCTACTTGGGAACCGGAGCTGGAGATGCAAGACAAGTACCCTCATTTATTTGCTACTTGAGGTAAGTTTCGAGGACGAAACTTTCTTTAAGGGGAGTGGATTGTAAACCCCCACCTATTTATAGTAATATCATAATAAGTTGTGTAGAAATATTAAAATATGTAATGGCGTAGAAATGAATCATATGGGTTATAACCGTAGAAATAATGATATTGTGACAACTCGGATAAATATATGAAATCGTTTGTAATAGAAGTTGTACCAACCCTGTTTGATGTGCAAAGGTATGTTGTATAAGTTTGGGATGACCTTAGAAGGATTAAAAATGGATTAAAAATGAAAAATAGAGGAAACAGGCAGATTCAGCAAAATCATACCAGTACGTGTATCGGTACGCTTAAGACTAGTAGCCAGATCGTACCGGTACGCGTGCCAATACGGCACAATCCAGTAGTTGTACCGGTACACATACCGGTACGCCCGACAGATTCCAAAAATTTTTAAGTTGCGAACAGTTGGCCTCCTTCCACTATAAATACATAAAGACGTCCCATTTAACCACATTTTAACACTTCTAACCCCAGAAAACTTTAGAGGGGAAGAAAGAGAGGGAAAAACACAAGATCAAATGGGTTTTGCACTTTGGATTGAATCAAAACCCTAGTTTTCAAGAACATCAAGGTAGGAGTTTCTTCCTATTCTCTTACATTGAGGTTAGGGCTTTTTTAAATGTATTCTCTTGACTTTAAATCTTATACATATGTTATGAAATCATCATTCCTTGATTTTTTTTGTAATTATTATCATGTTTTAAACAAAGTTATGGTTGAATACCCATAAAATCTCTTTTCTTTTTTTTTATTTAAAACCCTAGTTTTCAAGGGAGATGGATGTTTCTCTTGATTCTTCCTTTGTTCTTGATTTCGAAACCCTAGTACTTTGTGTTGAGTAATAAAATGGTATTTGTGATGATCTCTTGCTTAATTTTTTAAATTGTCTTATTGGAAAAATGCCGATGAAATTGAGGATTTATGATTTACTTATGATTTGAAAATTTGGTTGAAATTGTATCTCTTGTATGGTTGTTGTGATGGACTTGAATTGCATTTGAGCACTGCCATAGAGTGTTAGAGATTAGTCAATCACAGTGGGGGTGAGATGATTTTCTAACACTTGTAGTTGTTTATTGTTTGGGAGAGCAACCACTATTGTTCACATAAGTTCGAGGCTAAGGGTGAGTATACCTTTCCTGGAAAGGATTCGTCAATGCAATGGGAGACGGTATACGCCCTTCCTAAAGTGGTTTATGTGGTCATGATTGGGTGAAAGAGGTAGAGTCGTTGTGTAGATTTATGGGAATCAACCAACATATATGAAAATATGGCTATTGTGTGGAATTGGTTTCCTACAAGAGCTTGTGGAGGTATGGGACTCCACCAGAACTTGTGGAAAACGGTTTATTGTTGAAAATGATTGGTTAATTGTAATTGGCCGTTATTACTTCACTCAATTTATTGATACTATGTAAACTTGAGATCCATTGAAATGTTTCTATTTTGTTTCAAAAATTAATATATGATATTTGCAAAATGAGACCGACTTATTTTACATGTTTTCTAAACCTTGTTCAAGTTTAGGGAGAATGTTGTTACGGAGCTTAGTGCTCGCCCCCTACAAACTATATTTTTCAGATTGTGGTTTAGAGGAAGAGCTCAGAGTTGACGAGCAGGTGGCTTGGAAAACCCAATTGGAGGAAAGCGTGGATCCTGAGGGTAATGTTTAGAGTTGGTCTCTCTATGCTTTAGTTTAGGGGATATATTTTGGTACATTAATAGATGTATTTTTGTTTATCCCGCTGGGAGAAAATAGTTGATTCTTTTGGAATGTAATGGTCATGGATGGCCTAGTCTTTTGCGATGATATTGTAAATGTTATATTTGATGAATGAAATATTCTTTAATGATGAATTTATTAGTTGCTCTCATGATGTGAATGATTTTTAGTTTGTAATGCCATCCAAGGTGGGTTTTGGGGCGTTACAGGGTCAACCTAAAATATGAAACTTTTAACCTGAACCCCCCAAGCCAACCCAACATTGTTCTCTATCGAGCAACTCTAGTCCGAACCTAACTCGTGATTAACTTTTTAAACTCGGGTCGAAATTGAGTTACACAACTTGTGTTGAAATTGAGTTTTTCATTAATCAAAATCAAATTGAGTCAAAAATAAGATTCAATTATATGTTGAGCATCGAAATTGAACCTAAATTCTATAACTCCCATTAATCAAAAGTTATTAAAAAATAGAAAAAAAAAATTTCACATCTACAATAGGCTTAAACATCAATAATAGTGGGTAAAGAGTGTGACGCAGAGGCCCTAATATTTTTTGTGTATGTGTGATTTTTTGTTTTGAAATTTCAAGTTGAAACTAGGTTGAATTTCATAAATTTGAATTGGGTTCAGGTTAAACCTATCAATCCAAAATCTTAGCCTGAGTATTTCTCAAATTTGATTTCACGTTGGAGAATTTTTGTCCAAGACCAACCCAAGTATTGAAAATTTTGAGTTGATCTTGGATTGAATTCGGATTAGCCCACCCAAATTTCACTTTGGGAGATAACGTGAAAATAATTATGTAGAAAAAAAAATGGAGGGAGAAATGTAAGTCAAGATCAATTGCGTCCCACGGTGTATAAAAATCATACCTCCAAAAGTCCAGTCTTTTGATCGGCTAACTGAGGAATCATGCAAGCCTTCTGGCCTTTTTAAAAGCATGAGGAAACTCTTCCATTTTTCGTTAAGCACTTGCTCTGTGTTCAATCTAGCACACCATTATGGGCACTTCTATTCCAACTTTGGCGCTTCTTATATTTTTGCTCATCGTTGTGGGCAATTCAAACTCAACCATCATTTGCCATGAGAAAAAAAGAACAACCCTTCTCAACTTCAGAAATGGCCTCACTAATCTGTCGTCAAGCTGGCTCTCATCTTGGTCAGTCCAAGAAAATTCTTGTCAATGGATAGGAGTCCACTATGATAATGTCACGGGTCGAGTCATTAAGCTCGACCTCTTTGGTATGCAACTGCAAGGCGAGATTAATCAACTAGGAAATCTCTCAAGGCTACTTCATCTTGATTTAGGAATCAATAATGGACTATTTGTGGGTGATCTAAGTTGGATTTCTGGTCTTCATTCTTTGAAGTATCTTGACATGAGTGGAGTAGATCTTAGCAAGATAGTCAATTGGCTTCACGAAATGAATAAGCTTCCTTCTCTTTCAGAACTGCTCTTGTCCTCTTGTGGACTTGAAAGTGTGTACCCATCCCTCAGTTATGTCAATTTCACATCTCTTACTGTCCTTGATCTTTCTAGTAACCTTTTCAAGCGTGAAGTACCTAATTGGTTGGACAATCTCAGTACTAGCCTCATATATCTCCAACTTAGGGGAAATGCTTTACAAGGTCAAATACCAGTAGCCTTGTCGAATATTCACGACTTGAGGTATCTGAATTTTTATGGCAATCAACTTAATGGTCCTATTCCTGCATCTATCGGTAACCTTTCATCTTTGACTGTGCTAGATCTTTCTCTTAATAAATTGAGTGGCAATCTTTCAAATAATTTGGGGCTTCTCTCAAATTTAAAGGATTTATTAATTGAATAAAATTCAATAACAAGCGTTGTTTCATAAGTGCATTTTGCTAAGCTCTCAAAGTTAGAGTGGTTAGATATTTCTCAGAACTCTCTTTCCTTGAATGTAAGCCCCAATTGGATTCCTCCTTTTCCACTCACAGCTATGGAAATGAGTTATTGTAAGGTGGGTCCAGAATTCCCAGCATGGCTACAAACACAAAAAAATTGTTACCCAGTTTTTCATGTCAAACTCAGAAATTTTTGCGGTAGCTCCTAATTGGTTATGGAACTGGGTTTTACATGTTGTATGGGTCGACCTCTCTGGAAACCAGATTTATGGTGAGATAACTACGCTTTCACTAAATTCTACTTTCATCGAATTAAGCTCTACTCGCTTCTACGGTCAACTGCTACATCTGTCAATAAATGTTAAAATGTTGGTTATTGCAAATAACACTTTTTACAGGGACATTTCATCTTTCTTATGCAGTAAGGCGAATAGCAAAAATAACTTCAAGGTCCTAGATGTGTCAAATAACCTCTTGTTCGGTAACCTTTATTCTTGTTGGGTTTACTGACAATCTTTGGTCCATATAAACTTGGGGAAAAATACCCTATCAGGTGAAATTCCAAACTCAATGGGTTTTTTTATCTAAGCTCAAATCATTGCGCTTGCAAGAAAATAGTTTCTCTGGACATGTACCCTTGTCATTGTTGAATTGCACATATTTGGAGCTCATTGATTTCGGTGAAAACAAGTTTACAGGAGCCATACCAAGTTGGATGGGTGAAATGACAGATTTATTGGTTCTCTGTTTGAGATCCATTAAATTTAATGGTAATATTCTGACACAAATCTATCAACTTTCTTCTATCCTAATACTAGACCTTGTGGATAATAATATATCAGGTTTGGTACCAAAATGTTTGAATAATTTCACACTTATGGCTACAGTAGACATTCGGCAAAATGTTTCTTATGAGGACTTGGAATATTCCTACTACTTTGGATCATACAAGAAAATATTATGTTGGTTACAAAAGGGAGGCAATTAGAGTACAAGCGCAATCTTAAACTTGTGAGGAGCATAGATCTTTCAAGCAATAACTTATTTGGATCCATTCCTGTTGAGTTATTTGGTCTTTTTGAATTGCGTTTTTTAAATATGTCTCATAATCGCTTGGTTGGAGAGATACCAGAGAATATTGGCAGCATGACAACATTGGAATGTCTGGATCTCTCGAAAAACGATCTATCTGGCAAAATTCCAGAAAGCATGTCGAATATGGCATTTCTTGATTATTTAAACTTGTCATACAATTACTTGTCAGGAAGTATACCTTCAGGCACCCAACTTCAGAGCCTTGGCGAAGACACCTTCATTGGGAATGCTGAACTTTGTGGTGCACCTCTCCTGATAAATAGCACCAAAGATGAGGAATCTCATGGTTCAACACCTGTTCACAAAAATGGAGATGAGTCTGAGATGTTTTGGTTCTATATTGGCATGGGTATGGGATTTGTCATTAGTTTTTGGGGAGTTTGTGTTGTTATTTTCTTCAAAAGTACTTGGAGGAATGCTTATTTCAAATTCCTTGATGAATTGAAGGACCGGATCTATGTGGCAGCTGCTAAAGGTGAAATGGTTCCGCAAGAAATTCAATAACGTGTAGCGGAATGCATCATCATTGTCTTTTTTGAGGTAATGCATCATAATTTTTTGCCTTCTCAATAGTGTTTGTTCATGTTGTTTCAACTGCTACTTTGTTCCTATATATAAATTATATGCACTCTATAATATATCATTTATGCTACAATAATCCTCATGTTATTTTCATTACTATCTTGAAATTATCTGTTCAACCAACAACTATAATAAAAACTTAAGATTTTAGAGAGTGTAATATAATTATTTATATTCTTCCACAGGTCACTTCATGTGCGGGTTAAATTTTGAGCCAAATATGCACAAGTTTTTTAAGCACTTAATCTTTTAAGAAGAGTTGATGGTTTAATATGATATTAGAGCATGGTGTCCTCCATTCGAATTTCGTTGTCACCCTGATGCTTACATGTGCTTGGCATTTTTAGACGACTTGATAGTTTAACAAGGTATTACACCAACAAGTCTTACATTTGAATTTTGACACCACTCTAATAATTATAAGACTTACACGCGTTTGATCCAAAATCTATCCCGTATTTAAGGGGACCTGTTCAAAGATATAAATATAATTATATATTGTGAATGGTATGACATTTGACCACTTCAATATGAAAAAATAAAATAATCCTACTGTTATTAAAAATCACATCATATCTTATACTTCATTCACTAATCAGAATCAAAGAAATAGTTCAAAAAAAGTCTAGTGCCATAGTGATCACAGCTAAAATATAAAGAAACGTGGTAACCTAGTTTCATGTTTATCATATGTTTTATTCCATAAGGCTTCACTGCCTTAGATAGATTGATGCAAACAACTGATAGTAGAGTAAGTTGAGTTTATGATCAGTTGATCACAAACACAAAAATATTCTTATTCTTTTCAATTTTCAGAACCAATTTTAGGACCCCTGATGCTGCATACAAACTAGAATCGTGTAAAGGAATTTGTTGAGAAATTGACTTCTTGTTGAGATTCACTAATAACTAGATGTTGAGTACTTATTGTAGGATTGAACAGTTGCATTGCATCATGGTTCATTGATAGCATGTCATTTACGCTTTTCATAGAAGTTGTATTAGAATTATGATTTTATCCTGAATTTTTTTGCAGATTATATGAGAGGTGATGAAGGGAGTTCCATTCCGAACTGTCATCAATGGTGTTATTTGATACTTGTATACTTTAGTATGATATGTATGCAATGTTATGAAATGGATTTTGGCAGGTTATGTTTGTATAGGAATGTAAGGAGAGTGAACCTAGCTAGCTTGGTTGTATGCATATTATGTATTTCTCTTATATGTTCTAGTTGACAATTTATACTACTTAACATTTTGAATGTTGTTGGGATCGATCCGAAGGAAACCTATCCGGTACATGCTTTGTTCTAGTCTATGGATTGATAGGCAAAGGATTGGTGTGTGCCATATGAAAAATACAAATAAGTGGTATAAATTATTTATAGTTATTCATATTTTCCATGGATTGGAGTTGATTCTAATTAATCATCCTAAATTCATTTGATCCATCTCCAAGAAATGAATGCACGACATTACATTACCCACATGATTTAGTATAAATACTGGAAGTGTAAACTTGAAAAAGTGATGGAAAAATATTGCATTATAGTATATGCTTTAAAACACACACATATTCAACTATGTGGAGAATTCCTCTGTCAATTCGTTTTTGAGCAAAGAACAGCTATGTGTGCCTCAAGTATTATCAGACCAGCTTTAAGGCCGAATACCCGAATTTAATCTCCATATGTTACTTAACTACTCTCATTCTATTTCTTCCAAAAATAGATTAGATTCATCATTATAAAGTAAAAGAAAAAATTTTGATTTTAGACACAATAAACAATAGAAGAAGTCCTAGTCAAGATCAACTGTGTCCCACCCACACTGAAGGAGAACCATAACTTCAAAAGTCATGCAAGAGTGTGTGGCACACCATAATGGACACTTCTGTTCCAGTTATGGATAGTTCTACTGCTCATTATCATTCCATTATCCTTTTATAATCCTGAAAATAGTTATAAAAAAAATCCATTGTTGGTCCCTGATTCTACCAACCTATATGTAATCGAATTTATTATTAATGTTAATTAGATTGATTTATTGATATAATTTATTATTTTCATTTGATAAAGTATAAATATGAAAGAAATTGATCAGAAACATTACTCAACCACTCGCCCTATTTTCGCAAGAAACTGTGTTCCAAGTGATGTCTATGAAAAAACTTAGTGATGTTCAGTTTTAAAAAACAATTTCCAAAAAATCTTTGTAACTTGAAATAATAGAATCCAATTGCAGCACTAGTGGCATTTTTTAAAACATGGGGAAGCCCTTTCATTTCTCGTTAAACACTTGCTCTTTGTTCAAATAATGTAGCAAACAATTATGGACACTAGTCCTTTTGCAACTCATGCAATGTGTCTTTTGTTAGTGTTTTTGTTTATCTCCGTCGGCAATTCAAACTCAAACATCCTTTTCCATGAAAAAGAGAGAAGATCCCTTCTTAGCTTCAGAAATGGCCTCACAGATCCAAAAGACAAGCTATCATCTTGGTTAGTCCAAGAAGATTGTTGTCAATGGATGAGAGTCAGCTGTGATAATGTCACGGGTCGAGTCATTGGGGGTTCCATGAAAAGTGTAGCATATTTGAGCCTCACTGACTATGGATTTGATGGACTGGTTCCTCATTAGCTAGGAAATCTCTCAATGTTGCATTATCCTAATTTAGGATATAATAATGGAATTTTGGTGGATACTCTTAGTTAGATTTCTGACCTCCATTCTTTGAAGTATCTTAACATAACTCAAGTGGACCTTAGCAAGGGAGTCAATTGGCTTCAATAAATGAGTAAGATTCCCTCTCTTTCAGAACTATGCTTGTCCATTTGTCTTCTTGAAAACATAAACACATCCCTCGGTTACGTCAATGTTACGTCTCTTACAATCCTTGAACTTAATGATAACCTTTTCAAGTGCGAAGTACCTAAATGATTGGCTAATCTTAGTACTAGCCTCCTAATTCTTGAGCTCGGTGGCAATTGTTTACAAGGCCAAATACTAGAGAATGATTTTTTCAGATGGCCTGAGCGGCTTCTAACTAAGAGGGAGAATTGTTAAAAAAACTGGCTAGATGCCTTGGACTTTTGTGGCCTAAAAATAAGATGACCACAAAGGCTAAGGAGATGGTCACAAAAGTATTTGCTAGGATGTGCAACTTGTCGAGCAGCTACTCCATGCGCAAATTGAATCAAATCTGGCTTTGCATGTAAATATCTGATTGGTTGGGCATTTGCTCTCTAGAATTTCTGTATATAGGGATGCTCAGGCTTGGTTGAACGCATCGGAAATCAGAAACTCTCTTTTGAATATTAGAGTGTAGAGAGTTATGAGGCATCTGAGAGTTGAGTGATATCTATGTGATATCAATGAGATCATAGTGCATTCTCTCAAATAAAAGTGAGTATTTGCAAGACATGAAATAATTGTTCTTGTGCTGTTGTTTTACTCCATAGTGAAAACATCCAATCTTTGTTCCTCTTTGATGTAGGCAATAGCCGACCCATATAATACCTTGTGTCCATTTGTGTATGCCTTATTTATTTCTTGTTATTTTATTTTCTATCTTAATACTCAAATCGTGAATCCGTCATAACATTTATTGATACTAATGCAAAGTATCATATAGTTTTTTCTCTTTTTTTCATTGAGAAAGTTCATCTTATAGCTTTCTGTCTCACTTTAGCTTTTTCACCTCAAGGTATTGCCTTCTGCACTAAAGTTTAATTCAATTTTTGTAATGTTTGGCAAAAGAAAAGTGAAATATTGAATTAACACCCCTTATACATAACAACTGCTATATTATTCAGTTGTTTGACTTCCACTAAGTTGATATGATAGGACCAAACTAGAACATCTATTTTGATCATTTTCCTANTTTGTCTTCTTGAAAACATAAACACATCCCTCGGTTACGTCAATGTTACGTCTCTTACAATCCTTGAACTTAATGATAACCTTTTCAAGTGCGAAGTACCTAAATGATTGGCTAATCTTAGTACTAGCCTCCTAATTCTTGAGCTCGGTGGCAATTGTTTACAAGGCCAAATACTAGAGAATGATTTTTTCAGATGGCCTGAGCGGCTTCTAACTAAGAGGGAGAATTGTTAAAAAAACTGGCTAGATGCCTTGGACTTTTGTGGCCTAAAAATAAGATGACCACAAAGGCTAAGGAGATGGTCACAAAAGTATTTGCTAGGATGTGCAACTTGTCGAGCAGCTACTCCATGCGCAAATTGAATCAAATCTGGCTTTGCATGTAAATATCTGATTGGTTGGGCATTTGCTCTCTAGAATTTCTGTATATAGGGATGCTCAGGCTTGGTTGAACGCATCGGAAATCAGAAACTCTCTTTTGAATATTAGAGTGTAGAGAGTTATGAGGCATCTGAGAGTTGAGTGATATCTATGTGATATCAATGAGATCATAGTGCATTCTCTCAAATAAAAGTGAGTATTTGCAAGACATGAAATAATTGTTCTTGTGCTGTTGTTTTACTCCATAGTGAAAACATCCAATCTTTGTTCCTCTTTGATGTAGGCAATAGCCGACCCATATAATACCTTGTGTCCATTTGTGTATGCCTTATTTATTTCTTGTTATTTTATTTTCTATCTTAATACTCAAATCGTGAATCCGTCATAACATTTATTGATACTAATGCAAAGTATCATATAGTTTTTTCTCTTTTTTTCATTGAGAAAGTTCATCTTATAGCTTTCTGTCTCACTTTAGCTTTTTCACCTCAAGGTATTGCCTTCTGCACTAAAGTTTAATTCAATTTTTGTAATGTTTGGCAAAAGAAAAGTGAAATATTGAATTAACACCCCTTATACATAACAACTGCTATATTATTCAGTTGTTTGACTTCCACTAAGTTGATATGATAGGACCAAACTAGAACATCTATTTTGAT